TTCCATTCCTAAAGGGAAGAGCCCAACTTGATTGCACAACATCCCCTGATGACTTTTTCACACCGATCGTTATTATATTACTCTGATGTTTGAAAACTACATATTACTCTGATTGGTTTTAAACAAATGGTTGTACAAAATTGATGTTTTAAAAATAAAAATTGTACTTTGATTTTTGGGACGTTACAAGTTGGTATTAGAGCCTTGGTTTGAGGTATTCAAGCACACTATGGGTTATGTTTGAACTCAAACTGAGGAATTGGTAATCTGTTTGAAAGAAAATAAAATTTTCTAAAAACACTTTTACAAAGAAAGGGGTGCGATGCTTGCAATCAACCGAGCTCAAGTAATTAATTCCTAAAATACCCATACATGTTGTTGTGTTATCTACTTTGCATGCTAAAAGTTAGAATAAGGTGATGTTTAGCGTTGCATGCTAGATACCTATTAGGAGAGATGCCTATTAGGAAGGATACCTTCTGATGTTATGTCGCATGTAGAGGTCTATTGTTTGAATGTTGCTTGCTTTGTGCTTTGTAGAGCTCATATTGATATGAGTTAACTATTAAGTGAATATCATAAGCTACATGTTGTGAAGGTTAAATAATATAGGAGTAATTGATTTAGCCTTATTGCGTAGTTCTCGTTTGAGTCTAACCATTTTAGGGTTGGGTCCTTTAGTTAAAAGATTATTTAAGTTTTGTTGCATGTAACTGTATTCATGAAGTAGTTAGTTAACATTAGTAGGAGTTCTTCAGTAGCAAATGGTAGGGTGGGGTGGGGATCCTAAGAGAGCCTAGGAAAATCTTTAGTGCGAATGGTGTGCTGTTTAGTGGGCATAAGGAGTATGAGTATTAGAAGGTGACTTATAGGATTTAGGATGATTCTTGAGGAAATTATGGATATGTGTGGAAGATAGTATTGGGCTTGTACTTCTAAAAACACATGATCCGTACTCGAATCAAGAAAAGTCGTGAGGATTCTAAGATGCCTGTAGAATGAAGACTCTTTGGTTATGTGTTAATCTTTGTATGTTTGCTTTTCAGTTTGGTGATGAGCACTCGAAGAGGAGGTTCTGTTTCATGTTCAGTTTCAGGCTCAACTATTGAGCCAATTGATGAGAGAATTCATGATTTCTTTTCGTCTGAGATCACTCTTGGTATTTTAGATGTGGCTCGTGTGAAATTTGGTACTATCAAGGAGGGGATCACTCACCTGAATGAAGAGCTAATATCTCAACAAACACTCAAACACTCGTAGAATCAGTTATATGAATCGCCTAAACCAAACAGATGTCAAACCTCAATCTATAGCGCAAACCTATCAAGTTTACCTAAAATTCAAATTGGTTAAAAATTTAACGCTCATATAGAACCAATTTTTCGTTAAGGTCCTTATCCATTACGACCTAAGCTCTAAACTTCCATAACACATTGAATAAGGACTTAAAGGATATAGTTTCCTACTTTATCTATTTACATGCATCAAACCAACCTAACTCTAACCCTAGAACTAGATTAAGCTTAGAATGCACCCAAATCCTTGCATGATCCAAAATTAAAGACAACAACTTGAGTCTTGTACTCTCATGGGTGATGAAGACCCCAAGATTCAAGCTTTGTGCATGGAGTTTGCCAAACTCCACAAGAATCTCAAAAAAAAAAAAAAAGGTCCAAAACACCATAAAAACCAAGATCTAAGCATTTGAGCACAACAAATTCTAAACTTCAATACTCACAATGGTCCATAAGATGCTCATAAAGCTAGATCTACCTTGAATCACACTTCCTTACACTACACATCTCCTTTTTTCCCTTCAAAATGCACACACATAAGGATGCAAGGCTTAGAATATCAAGAGAGGGGGCTAGGGTTTGCTATAAACATTCTCTAGATATGGAGAATAAGGCTAAAGAAAACCATAAAAACCTCTTTTCTTAAATATAACTTATAACCCGGGACCACGGGTTTTGGTCTGTGGCAGCCACTGTGCCGCATACAACAACTAACCGCGCCGCTACTTAATGACATGGCCTGCACTGCAAACACGAATATCTGGAATCAGGTGTTACAGTTAGCAAGACCCCCACTCTAAAGGTATATATCTAATTAAATACTTGGACCTCTCTACTCTGGTAAACATATATGATATGAATGTAAAATATCAAATACAATAAGACACCAAATAGTTGTTAGGACAACAAAGCTTTCTTGATAAAAAATGCCAACTTAAATGAATCTTGATAACGCAACAAATAGTTGTTAATACAATATACACTTTTCACATCGTGTTAGACTAAATTTTCTTTAGATTTGAGAGGATGACAGTTAAGTCTTAGAGTGTAGATATCTTGAATATACATTTTAATCAATGAAAAGAAATAACTTTCATATCGTATTTTAATGTTCAACTCTGACTGTGATTCTAAAGAAATTTATTGGTCTGAGGTGATATAAATTTTAATATTTTTTTTTGTTGATTCGTTGGGCCAAATAGGATAGGCCAGCATGGAAGAGTATGTTGGGACTGATATGAGAACGGGTGAGGAAGGGCATGATCGAGTTCCATTGAGATGTATCACATATGAGAGGAAATGTTAAGGCTAGCTATCTAATTTTGCGTTGATAAAGCTAGATAGAATAAGATCTCTATTCCAAGGCATATATATTAGAACCTAAAATGACAACATCTTGGGAGAAATAGGGCTACAATGATTACACACTAATGAGGTTTTGGTATTCACTCATACAAAATATTTTAACTTAATTTTTATTTTAAATAAAAACTAAAGCATATTTGTAGATTATTTTTAATTAATCTTGTAGAGACGAAAGGTTAGTGTGTTGCATGTTTTCATTGTTAATCCTCCAAAAAATTTCTGTAAGAAAATCATGAGAGATAAATTTCATATTTACCTTATAAGATATGTCTTTGATGAAAGTAGAAACTTTTTGAATATTTTTCAATCAAAAGCTAAGATATGTTATTGTAGGTTCTCTACTACGACGACTACAAGTCATCGCTAAAGCTTGGTTTTTGTAATGTAATAGTTACTTCAGGGCCGACCCTAGAGGATGGGCAAGCTGGGTGACCGCCCTGGGCCTCGCCAAATCTCGGGACCCCAAATAGGGATTAATATTATATATATAGTTTTAAAATGATAAATACTATACGTATCCCAAAAATAACCAAAGGTGCTTGTAGTTCATTCAGTTTGAAGCGCAAAAATGGTTGTGGTTGTTGATCCGTGTTCGAACCTCACTATTCCTAAGAGAGGTCCTTTATATATATATATATATATATATATATATATATATATATATATATATATATATATATATATATATATATATATATATATATATATATATCAAGGTTGCAAAAAACGCTCGATGTTAACTAGTCGATGGACTGGGGTCAAGGGATTAATCGGATAGCCGGAGATTAATTGGGGGATTAATCGGGTACCATTAATTGCTAATTTTCTGAATTTTAAAAAAATAAATATGACTAATATCATACCAAAGTTCGTAAATACCAGTAATATGATAACAAAATAGGTTAATATGATTAATACAACACTAATCATGCCTCAAATAATTTCCATTAATATAAACTTCTTCAAAATGTTAAAATTTCTTCGTTTTATAATATTTCACTCATTATGTATGCAAGGATTAATTGCTAGGCGCCCTCTAATCGGTCGAGTAGCGCCTATGGATTAATCGGAGATTAATCGAGACCTAATCGGGATTTTTACAACAATGATATATATATATATATATATATATATATATATATATATATATATATATATATATATATATAAATGTTAAGACCCCTCTTAAAATACATGGAGCCTCCACTGGGAAGAAATCACGCACATCAAAAATTGTTATTGTTGAAATTCTATGTGTGTAAGCATATTTTTTTCTCAAAAGTGCACTCTACAAATATATCATCTCAAAACTTTCAATTCAACAACAAAATTTCCTATTATGTTATACAAATTCAAATGGAAAGTTGATAAAAAATAATGAAGGGAGTATTATTAGTTCATGTCGATAGCTTCTGAAAGGAGATTAAATTCTGATTCAATAACAAAACATTATTTTTTGTGAACCTTTGCGCGTGGTTGATTTAATAAATTAGATTATGCTAGGTTTAGGTTTTATTCTATAAAGTGATTTTTACGAGATTTTTTTAATTTATTTTGTTTCATCGTATTAACTTTATCTTTTATACGATTAGTATTTAATACAACACACGATGCAACGAAGAACTCATTTGCAAAGTGGACTACAATTTATAAAAACAAAGTTTTGGTCCAAACAATTATGTATGAGGGAGTAAATAATAATTAAGAAATTATATTAATAAAAATGAAAACTATAAAAACAAAATTTGTAAGGGATCAAAGATAATTTTAAAATATTGTATTAAAATTTTAAATTTAACAATATTTTCCGAGATGCCGCAGTGAAAGACCTCAAATTATATTTTGCCCCGGGCCTCAAATCGTCTTGGACCGGCAATGGTTACTTCTAACAAACATGGTAAAGAATCCAAAAATTAACCATATAGATCAATGCAATACAAGTGTACTAAAAATAATAGTTCAAGAAATACCATAATATATGAAACTTTATAACAACAAAACTACTAGATGATATATACACAAACAAATATATATCATTTGATGATATATACACTTTCTATCTATCTAATTTATATATTTACCTCTAACTTTTACCAATAATCAGTAGAAAATAATAGAAAAACACAATTGCGCTTATTAAACACTCATTCTTTGGTACAAACATTATTCAATAAAAATGATATGGGGAACCAGGGCTTAAATTTCTTGGACCCCACAAGAAATCCATTGATGGGAAAGGCAGCCAATAGCGAAACAAAATCACGGATGGAGTTCATATATTAGCCAATTAAATGAAGATAAGGCATTTTGTGGGACCTTCTGAAGCTAGGCAAGTGCATCTACTCACCTTCTTTATAAATCTCTTCAATATGACCACACTGTTCTCTGTAAAAAGTGCATACAGTGGGTCACACTCACAACACAAAACCTACAATCCCATCATACATTTCTTCAACAAACTCCATAATTTTTAAACAAAAAGTTCCTACAGTCGATACCCCTACCAAATGGTCTCATCGGACAAGAAATTGGCTAACGTAGTAGGAGGAAAAACGGCAAGAGCTTGTGATAATTGTATAAGAAAGCGTGCTCGGTGGTATTGTGCTGCCGATGACGCTTTCTTGTGCCAATCGTGTGATGCTTCGGTTCATTCGGCCAACCCGTTGGCTCGTCGTCACGAAAGGGTTCGTCTAAAGGTGGCTTCTTTGAAGCTTTCTTCTTTGGAGAAACCAGCACCACCGCCATGGCACCATGGTTTTACCAAAAAACCAAGAACTCCTCGTGGTGGGAACCACCACAAGCAGGCGTCTCGACGGACGCCAAAATCTGAAGAAAGCAGTATGAGTTTCAATCCACTTCACTTAGTTCCGGAGATCGGTAGTGATGAGACCACCGCCGTGACATCCGATGAGCAACTTTTGTATCAGGTTCCGATCTTTGACCCCTTTGCCGCGGAACTTTGTCTTTCCGGGAATTCAAACGAGGTGGCAACGCCTGTGAAAGACACGGAGGCGACAACTCCGGTGGACGCAGATCATAATAATGGATCGAAAGTGACGTTCGATTTGAATAGTTTCAATGGGTTGATACTTCCCTCCGATATGGAGCTGGCGGAGTTCGCCGCTGATGTAGAAAGTTTACTGGGAAAAGGTCTTGATGAGGAATCGTTTGCTATGGAAGGATTAGGGTTGTTGGATTGTAGAGAGAAGGATTCGGGTGGCGAAAGCTTAGAGAGAGTGAAGGTTGAAGAAGATCAGATGCAGTGTGAAACGGTGGAGAATGAGATGGAGATGATGAGAGAGCCATTTCAGTTGAGCTTTGATTACGATTCACCGTTATGGGAGGAAAAAGACGAGAAGTTGACGGTGGAAGGTGGTGTCGGAGATGGTATGGGTGTGGTGAAAGAGGATGAAGATTATCATGTGGTTATCAATATAGAAAGATATGATGATGAAAATAAGAAGCAAAAAAGAATATTAAAGCTAGATTATGAAGGAATCATTGCCGCTTGGGATGAGCAAAGATCACCATGGACAACCGGAGATCGGCCGGAGTTGGATCCCGATGATTGTTGGCCTGAGTGCCTGGTAGGTCTACTATACTCTTTTTACTTTTTAACTATGTATATGTTGTCTTTCTTTCACACTAAAATCACACTCTTTTAAGAATCACAAGTTTTTCCTATTTGTATTTCATAAAGAAATCTTTTTGACATTGGATTAATAATCAACATATGTTATTAAACTATATATTTAATCAAATGTTATTTTTTAGGAGAAAAGTAAAATATAGTTGTGATAAAAAAAGTGTTACCTGCGTAAAAGTCATGCCTTTTGCGGTGCATTTCAGTGCATGATTTGACATATTGTCAAGTAGACCTTTATGCAACCTTAATGACACTTTGACAAATCGTATATTTATATAACCAACTTTTTCTTAACGTCTTTTATGAAAATCAAATTATCATTTGGTGTTGTTCGACGTCGGATTAACAATAGGACTAATATTTTGGCTCTTTTGATTTCTTAGGGTGGATGTGGGATAATGCATCATCAGCATCATCATCCTTATGGAGATATGGGAATGATAACGGGGAATCCGGCAATTTTAGATGGAGGGAGAGAGGCAAGGGTGTCAAGGTATAGAGAAAAGAGGCGAACAAGGTTGTTTTCGAAAAAAATAAGATACGAGGTACGAAAACTGAATGCAGAGAAGAGGCCTAGAATGAAAGGAAGATTTGTGAAAAGGTCATCTTCTTCCGGGTTTCCATTGCTTAGCAAATAATTAACTATAACATATATTGCTAACATATCCATCTTACAATTTTGTAAGGTAAGTTCTATGCTTAATTAGGTCTTTCTAATTAAGAATGTTCATACAAATTTAATAAGGAATAGAAGAAAAATAATCGTGTTTTCCAATTTGTGTGTTCTTTTAATGATGATGGATTGCTTCAGCTTTGTTGCTTTATAAGGGAGACTGGATTCCATCCATTATTTATCCATCAATTGCATCGATTAAACTGTTCTCTAGTAAAAGAAAGGAGTTGACGCAAATTTGCACTACCTGGTGGACACAAATTAGATCTAGCAAAGTCATTTGGCATCATGGATCGAACTTTATTCTAATATAACTTCCAAGCCTAGGTGACCCACATGTACCATTCTTTCTTGTTTCTTGGTCTCTACCGAATATGCTCCTCAGTCATCTCTACTATCTTCTAATTAACACAATAAAAGATGATACTCACTTTTTATCGTCACCGCTTGTCTCTTAGCACACATATTCATACGACGGTTACTGTAAATACTATGAGAAAACAATATGTTTTTTTTTACAAAACGATATCGAGTTATATGTTATAGGCAGTGAAGGAGTGAAGATCAAGGTAAAGGAGTATCCTAATTTTTGTAGGGTAGTCCAATTTTTTTAGGAGGTACTTGGGTTTTCAGAATTCGGTTTTAAACCCAAATCTTAATCGCATGGCCGTGAAAAAATGTATATATAAACTAATTCCCACAAGTTTAAATTAAAATTTGAAAACTATATGTCAATAATAAACTTGAACACACACTTTAATGAATTAAATATGTACCCAACTGGAGTAGATAATATCAATATATGTTGTGTATGGCATTTATTTAAATAATTTTCTTATATAAAACATAAAATGAAAACCATGGTAGAATATGAAATAATCTGAAAAGTTCAGAGAAAAAAGATGTAAATTATCATTTGAAATGGGATACTACCCTTCTTTCCAATATACCAATATACGATTCTTATAAGTTGTTAAGAAAAAAAGGTCTGGAAGACATGTGCACCTTACCACTTGATGTATAACTATCTTGATTTTAATCTTTTGCAGTTTATTTAATATGTGAATACCTGCAAAATTAAAACTAATTGTTCTTAAGAAAATTACACTATCGAAAAAATTTGAGGGACATCCCGGGCTACCCCAGGATCTCTTTAGATCCGCCCCTGGTTATATGTAGTGTTTATATTTGGCAATCTCCATACTACAACATCTATATGTTTTGAAGTACTAAAAACATCAGATTAGCAAACGGAAATCTAAACCAATTGAAACCTAACGCTTGACACAATACAAATATTTGTTGTTCCTTTGTAAAACCAATGGATGTCGTGCTCATACTATGAGGGTGGTGCATGTATCTCGAATATTTTAGATGATGGTCAATTTGTAGATGCGTTTGGTGTGTTGGTGTTGAACGAGATTAGTAGATAGGTATATTTTGTGACATCCCGAAATTTACTTCCATTTTAAAACTTTAAATTTATGTTTATTTAAAAATAGAGTGTTTATTAGTGATGAATTTGTCCTGAAAATATTATTTCAGTGTGAGATAATATTAACATCAAACATTTCCAAAGAAACATTTTACATTAATATCTTTAAAATAAAACTTAAGATGTCATAATTGATACAAGAAACATAAGCATATAGGCCTTAAAGTATCTTAGACTAATAGTCCACATCTCCCTGAATCTCTCATCATTCATGTACATTTATACCGTTACCTATGATATAAAGAAGCTGAATGGATCAGGTTGGGAAACCTACTGAATACATAGGGTTTTAAACTCACGTTAATATAATTAGTATGTTTAATTATCTATCAAAAAATTTACTCAATTATCCATCTCCATTATCATATTTATTCATCTATAGAGTCCTATCTTAAGGGTCGTCGTTGGTTACATCTATATTCAATTAGATAACTACATTATTAGTACAATAGTACTAGTTCTTATATCGTTATTACAATAGTACTATATCCTAAATCTGTAGTACAATAATACTATTTTTTACGTCGTTAGTATAATTGTACTAGTTACTACATCATTAGTACAATAGTACTAGTTTTTTACATTCTTAGTACAATAATACTAGTTCCTACATCGTTACTACAATATAGCATTAGTTCTTAAATTGGTAGTATAATAGCACTATTTATGTCGTGACATCCTATTATTATTTTTATCTTTCATCATACTCTGACATCTTATCATTTTTACCTTTCTTTACCCAATGTATTATTTTCATGAAAATACATATACGGTATAAATCATATAAATTTATCTTTATAACATTTCATCTAACACATAACACCTCTACACATAAGCACATATAGCATTAAATTATCTAAATTCTTCATATATATGGGTAAGACGAAAGTAAATATGTACTCATTTGATAAAAGTGGATGCCTTAAAATTTCAGTAGAACTTCGCCTTGATACTTATCTTTTTCTCTGACGTGACCTTGGTTCATATTGCTTAGTGTTAGTATTAGAGTAAATTACTAAAACCGTCCCTATGGTTTGGTTAAAATTACACGTTTGGTCCTTAATTTTTCTTTTGCATTCGGATCGTCCCTATGGTTTGATTTTGTTGCATTTTTCGTCCCTTGCATACATAAAGTTAGAGACCAAATGTGCAATTTTGACTAAACCATAGAGACGAAAAACGCAACAAAATCAAACCATAGGGACGATCCGAGTGCAAAATAAAAGTTAGGGACCAAACGTGCAATTTTAATCAAAGCATAGGGACGATTTCAGTAATTTACTCTTAGTGTTATATTCCTGATAACTAATGATAATCTAGATTCTTCACTAATCCCAATGTCTACATCAAGATCTATAAAGTAAGGAACAACTAGATAGGATCATACCGGAGGGAGTTTGGTATATAGAGTACTGTTTGGAAATCTCACTTTAAACACCTCACTAAATCCAGTGTATATATCATCTCCGTAAGTAGATCAGTTAGTATAATGACTTGGAATCAGTGATAAATCTTAATTATATGTTCATAATAATGACTATGACTATAGTTACAGTTACACTTGAATATAATAAGTATAACTTAACTTACAGAGCTTTTAGAGAAAACCGGGAATTATGCGGTCAGAACACTGATCTGGGAGCTTCTATTCACCAGCTATTTGACACTACAGGATTTCGCCGAAGTGGTTAGGAACTAGAGAGTAAAGGGCTAGAGATACAAGAGAATTCCAGATAGAATCTGGATGAAAGGGATAAGTAATGAAGTTGCAAAACGCAGTTTATATAAGATTGAAAAACATAAGTGCCTCGTACACTTTGTCGGGGCGCGCCGTGAAAATTTTCAGACGCTGATATGGCATCGTCTGGGTGGTGACAGGTGTCGAAATCCTATGGTGGGTCAGAAGTGCGCCATGCTTCTGGTTTGTGCGCACGAAAACTCTGATTTCTTTAAAAATTCATATTGTCGTCATATGAGCTCTGTTTTCGACGTATTTTATATCCACACATAGCTATAGACGAAATTTATTGTAACATCCATAAAATTCTTAAATATTTAAAACTTTTTCAAGCATTCAAAAAACATTATTTATTACAAAATGTTTCGAAATAGTAATTGTAACCCTCGTAGATCCGGGCTAGTCAATTTAGAGGTAATAGGGGTCGAACATGACTTTTCGACAAAAGATTATTTAGAATAAATAATCTTAACCAAGTTTTAGAATATGTCACAAGGTTTCCGTACATATAAAGAGCGTCAAAATCGGAGTTATAACGAAGAAGTTATGACCCGTCGAAGTTTCGCGACGGAACCGGCACGGCACCAGGAAGCGTAAATAGTGATTTTACGATGGAGGACTTTTTAGCCTTAGTGATCTAAACCAAAGTTGTATTATATGTTAAACCGAGAAAATCCATAAAACAAACGCCCAAATCTGACTTCGTATGAGGAAGTTATGATTTTTCTAAGATTCGGTTTAGCAGTGCACGACCCGAAACTCGAATTTTAGTTCGAGCGGTTTTTGGCTTACGCAACCTAAATGAAAGTTGAAGATCTCATTAATAGGAAATCAACGGTAAAAAGACAGATGAAAACAGAGTCCGTATGTAGAAGTTATGAATTTTACGCGGACGTTTAACAATATAATCTCCTTGTACTGTTAAGTTTAAGATCGGTCGAGAATTAGCCGACGAGGTCAAAATGAAAGTTGTAGATATTATTTTTACCTACGCGTGGATATAAAGAACATCAAAAATGGAGGACGTATGTGAAACTTACGGATTTTAGAAGTCGGAAGTGTGCTATGCGAAAATGAGTGATATGGCACAAACTTGGCCATTGCTTTCTCCCCAAGTCTTGCCACTAGATGGTGACATGTGGCACCAAGTTAAGCCATTTTCACCCTATAAATAGAACCTCTCCCACCCTCATTTTCTTCACACGTTTTTCATTCTTTCTTCTCTTTACTCTGTCTCTAGAACCTCTCTCTAGCCCTGAAAAGCCTAGGGAACCTCCCTAGCACGAGGCGGAAGCCCCTAAGTGCTCGACGGCTTCGAGAAGAAGAGCTTTTCAGCACGGGAATGCTGCTCCAAGCAAAGCCTGATTTTCTATAAAACCCGCTGTAAATGAGCTACGCCTACGCTATTTTTAATATAGTTTTTATTTAATTATATTAACGTTATTAAGAACATATAATAAGTAATTGGGCTATTATTATGGGTTATATAAGTATTATTTAACGGTTATATAATAGTAATAATAGCTATACTATTAATTAGTCTCGGTGAATAATAGACTAAACTCTAGTGGTAATAATACTAGGTTTCGTCGGAGGAAATTATTTTTTTCAAGAAGTGAAGCGTTGTCAGAGTTCAAAATCACCACCTTTTCAAGTGAGTGCATAGTTACTTTCATCTTACACATAGATATGAAGTATTTTATATAAACTACATGCTATGTGTGCATATTATTTGTATACTTGTTGTCTATGTTGGATGAACGTTTTTATACATGTTTTAGATGATTTAAATTGTATACGTATTTTATATACACGAATATGTTGGGTATGATATGGGTAGATGAATGATGAGAGATAAAAGATGATGTGAGTAAACATTGGCAGCTATAGACTTAGTGCCTAACTAATAAACATCGGCAACTATGGACTTAGTGCCTATTGGACAAACACTGGTAGCTATGGATTTAGTACATGTTAAGGAATTGGTAGCTATGGACTTAGTACCTATTAGATAAACACTGGTAGCAATGGATTTAGTACCCAATGAATAGACTATAGCAACTATGGAATTAGTGCTTTATGAACGAACATTGGCAGCTATGGATTTAGTGTCAGTCCTATAACCCTGGAAGTAAGGGACTTCGGAATAAACGAATGTAGAATAGATGACTCTTAGGATAAATCCTTAAGAGTAAAGAAGATAATGGGGATGGGTAATTGGGTTGATTGTTTGATTGTTTAAACATAATAATTATATTATTGTGGGTTGAAAGCCCTATGTACTCACCAGGTTTCCCAACCTGGCCTACTCAGTTTATTTATATCACAAGTGTTGATATGAACTCACATTACATTGAAAGATTAAGGAGATGTAGATCACTAGTGTAAATAAATGTAAGTTCTGTTTATGCTTATGTTCCTGTATTGAGGATGACATCCCAAACGTTTTAAAATGAATAAAATACGTTTCTTTGAAAATGTTTTAATAACGTATTTATCGTGTTTTTCTGGGAACGAATTCCGCAACATTTTTATTAAAAGAAGAACTCTGATTTTTATAAAGCATAAACAAAATCGGTCTTTTCTGGCCGTGAAAATGGGGATGTCACAGTTGGTATCAGAGCATTAGTTTAAGCGAACTAGGAATATGGATTTATTTCTAGACTTAAACTTAGAATGCTAAGCGATGATTGTGAGGTGTGAGCACTAGCTTAATTTAGGAATGATGCCTAAATTGCTTTTATGTGCTAAATGATTTGTTATGCTATAGTTTGATCAGATCTATGGTCTGTTGCCGACCGGATCTGGAAACCTTATGTGTTTAGGATTCTAAACGTACGAATACAATATTAGAACTAGCATATAAACGTTTCGGAGTGATAAGGATGATTTAAACGTCAATCCTAAATAAAGATCTAGATTCACCTTATTCGGTGTATAGATTAAGATGGCAAGGACCCGTAGTGGAAACATAAACGTAAATGGAAATAGGAACCAACCCCCTCAACCCCAGTGGTTCAGCAAATACCTGTTGTAGAAGAAGTTGCACCTGAGCCAGTCACCATGGATAGAGTTCAAGCCATGATTTGGGCTATGCTAGCTGAACAAAGGGAAGAAATGAGACAGATGTTCCACGAAAATAGGGATGAACCTACCATACATGTTGAGCCGACCGAGCCAATTCCCGAACAATCTAAGGAAGGGTACTACAGCCGCCAAGCGAGTCAAGTGGGGACTCAAGGCGAATGAAGGGAAGGCCCAGAGGGGAGAAAC